CAAAAAGCCCCAACTTTGAGCCTGGTTGGGCTTATATATTTTACGGGCCCTTCTCTCGGTGAGCCTCAGCATCCACTAGCTTTGAGGCTGCCGATCGGTTCGCAGCGCCCCGGTACCGGAGCTTTCCCGAGCCTGTACCCGAGCCTGTTTGGGGCCCTGAAGGGTTTTCTGGCGAAGGGGGCCCTTTTGTCGGGTACCGGGCCTTTTGCAGCGCCCTGGTACCGAAGCTCTTTCCGAGCCTAGACCCGAGCTTGTTCGGGCCTAGCGGTCACCACACAAGCAGTACCAGGCCCTAGGAAATTCCCGCAGGCCCAGCCCCGAAGTTCAAGGCCCGATGGCTCATCTCCGACCCTTAGGCCCGCGGCCTTTTCCCTCCGGTGTCAATGAACAAGCACCATACTCATCGGCGCACGTCTCCTTCCGGTGTTGACCAGCCGTGATGATTTCTGCTGCCGCCGCTGCTTGGAGCGCCCAAGGCCTCGACCCACACGGTCGGAGTCCGCTTTTTCCATCCCTTTGCCGGCCCTTAGTGCGGCCCCGATCCCTATCGATCATGCCTTCCTTCCGAAGCCCCGGCGTTCCTTCCGCCGCGGCAGCCTTCTCATGGCCCGCCCGCGATCCTTGTTCATACGCCCCTCATGAGAATGTCCTTCCATCGCTCGGGCTCCGCTCATTCCGAGTGTCGCGACCAGGTGCCCGTGGTGTCGATCTGTGGTCACTTCCTTCCGGGGCCGACCGTGGTCTCGCCTGGTAAAAAACAAGTAAAACGAGTCCTCGCTAAGCACCTTCATCAAGGAAGTAAAGGGTGGCACAAGGCTGGAGCCGCCCGACAACGGTACCAGGGGCATTTCCGCAAAAGCCTCCGAGGGCAGAACTGAAAAGTGCGGTATTTGAAAGTGGCGGTCGAACTGCAGCATGGCGCCAGTTGTCCAAAATCCAAAGGAGGGGTTTGGAAAAAAGGGCGCCAGGCCAAAAACGGGTTGCAGCAGAAACAGCAAAACGATAGACCAGGGATCGAGCCCTGGCGGAGTCCGTAACAATCGGTCTATTTAATAATCAGCCACCATATTTATGTGCTGTGAAGATACCATAGCCACCAGCTACAGAAACAGAGTCCTTACAGCACACTGGCAGCTTATGAACAACAAGGTCTCCCTCCCTCCAGACTGGCAGCTTCAGAAGAAGATCCCCTACCAGTGCTCATTTCTTGATCTGCGAAATGGATGGTCGGGCTCAGTTATGTTGTGTGAAGATTGGAGACATGGCCGGGTGCAGGTGTTCTCTGTGAGGACAGGAAACAGGGCTTTCACAATGTAGCTCGACGGCGAGACCCCCCTCAGGCAAATTGGTTACTCTGGGTGTGGATCCATGTGACCAATGGTCAAAAAAAATAATTGGGGTATGTGGGGCCTGGAACTGGTTCTTTCCTCACCATTACTTTTCGGGGAAAAAAATAAAAAATAATCAGTTTGCCGACTCTTGGAGTAATCATCAGTTTGCCAACTCTTGGAGTCTTTCTTTTTGTTTTCTTTATGTACGAGCTTGGAAACGGGCCAAGTTTCCGTCACAATGTACAAGTGCCTCAACGGAAGGGAGCAGGCACTTCGGCCTGGCCCTTTCCAGAGGCACCATGCGAAGAACGAAATGAAAGGTTTATGCACCCCACTCTGCAACCTATGCTATATCAACCAATGGCCAAAAACGGAGATAATTCAGACCTATTTACAAAAAGAAGACGAAATGCCAGTTCTGTCACTGCTTCAGTACGGCAAATCCCTTACTCTTGGAGTCCTTCTGGCATTACTCTCTCACTACATTACCAAAAAAAGAAAAAAGAATTTATATGGATGGCAGGCTTCATTGACAGAATAGCCTTCACTGACTTAGGGGCTTCTTTTTTTTCAGAAAAAGTCATATTTGCAATCAGACTCGCATACTTCGTCGCTTCACATGCATACAAACAGATGGTGAATCACACTGGCGCATAGCGCCCAACTCAAAGCTCGAAGATATGGAAACCAAGACACAGTCCAGATGC